AATTAAACACTAAGGTCTGCACTGACTGTCTAGATTGAGTGCTTTTTCACTCTTTTCTAGTGGATTCAGCTTTAATAATTAATAAAAACTCTAAGATTCTGGTGACATGATTTCTAACAGCATTTTTAACAGAAAGGAGTTGTCAGCATTTGTTTAAAATCTTTCCGTGTGTGTAGTCACCATGAACTTTTTGATACTGCCATCATTTTTGACAATCTGACATCGGGTTGTGGGAAAGAACTGAACTAAGATTAGAAGTGTTGTAAGAAAATGTTGATTAATAGGGCTGTAAGTGCCTTTTATCCACAGTCGCACTGCTGCTGCCAGGGCTGGTTAAGCGCAGGCGTGCATGCCAGTGGAAAGGTGTTCCCTGCAGCCAGGCTTTGCAACGCATCTCTGGGCTCATAAATAGTGGGTTATTAGGAGTAATTGCAGAGCGCATAAACTTCTCTTTAGGCAGTACTAAATAAGTTATGAAAGTCAGCTCCAGTGCACCTGAAATTGCGTGTTCACTGTATCAACCATGAGAAGCATTTGCCTTTAAAGTCTGTCATAGTGTGAGAATACTTAAAGAAATTAAGAAGTTTGCTGGGATTACCACTCCAAAAGGTTATGCATTACATGAAACTTAATAGAAATATGTTACTTGGAATATAGAGAGAATAGATTTTCCTACAATAATTTTTGTACTTGCTTAACTTGACCTCTATTATTTTTCATTGTTATGGTCGGCTGGTATGTGTGAGAAATATCACAAAACTAGCTTCCTTTCATCTGATTTTGTATCAAAGGCACAGTTAATCATGGATTTTCATTTTTCATTAGTTGACACAGTGGTGGGGGCCAAGAGGGAAGTCTACCTTGCAAAATGCTGTCTGAAGTGAAGGGGCTGGCCAGGCTGCAGGCAGCAGGCCCTGCCTCGGTGATCCCATTTCCTTGTAGCCAAGAGTGTAAGAGACTTTGGAAAAAGTGTGCACAAAGCTGCAAGACTTAGAAGCAATGGGCTGTTGTACCTGTGCATACCTGACAGCTGCCTTCACAAACAAAAACATTTGCTGCGGCTCTAGATCCTGCAGGTACATGATAGTCCAGAGCCAGCATGAAGCCCGTCAGAGAATTCAGTCTGCTAACTTCTGGTTCTTGTTTTGGATTCTTCTCAGTCCAGCTATTTCCCCCTCTCATCTTCCTCTAACCCCCTGAAAATGGGGTGGAGATGAATAATTTCCAGAATTAAGAAACTCAAACACACGCGAAGATTATAAAGCACAACACCTTTGGTTGCCTTTGGGATAACAGTACAAAATGTCAGTATCTCCACAGTCCCCCCTACAGGTCTTGTTTTTAAACACAGCACCATTTAATTTAATCTTATTCCTAACAAAACTCTTCTCCTCTTCACTTGGTGATACCAGGCTCCCTGTCTGTCTATGGCAAGCCACTGTTGCTACTATATGAGTTGAAAACAGAGACAAAACGTCTTGAATACTAGTTAAACACATGCAAGAACGATCCACGAGGTTTTGACTTAATCGGAATTTGCTGATTTCATATGGAATTACCTCAAAACCTTCAGGCAGGACTATGTGAAGCAGATACTTCCTCTCTTTCTTTTCCCTGTCCTTCGTAACAAATTAGTTTCCAACCTTTTCACTGTATGTCTATTAATTTGGTTTATTACCTGCTCTGGTATCACAGTGTTACCCCTGTGAAAAACGTATTGACTTTATTATTATTAAGCTGTTCTTTCCTTGGCCTAACCACCGCCTGCGTCTGAGGCTTGGGTTTCGTTTTGAGACTACATTGAACAGTTTCTGTCACAAATGCTATTGTATGCTTTCTGAATTTGCCACTAGAGGATGCTCTGCAAACCGACATGCTGTATGGACAGAGATGCTGCATTGTCAGCATCAAAGAAAGTCTATCGCTTGTACCAAACGGTAGGACTTCTTTCTGCTGTCTGGTTAGCCAAAGGAACAGAACTACACTGAACCACAAAAGAGCAGAGTACAGTATTCCCTTGCATTGCCACTGCAAATGTAGGCTGATTTCAGCTCACCCCATCTTGTTTTGATGGACTTTGATATTACAATGGGCAAATTATGCTCTGTTAAGTCCAGCCTAATAACTCCATCCAGCAAAGTCAAAGGAAAGCCGGAGACGGGTGTGCGGTGGATGCACCCTCGGTTCATTGCTGTGAAAATGCTCTGCAGAGGCTGAGGGCAGCACACCCAGCACGGAGGTTTCTCCCCTTTCCCACCTATGAGAGGCAGCGGAAGGGAAGCAGGAGACTCGAGAATGTTCCTGACAGACAGCCTAGAACACAATTGGCTTCTTTCTGAGATCAGAAACATTCTTTCTAGTTAAACTTTGGTCAAATAAGGTATTTCATCCCAAAGTCCATTATAGCTGGCTAATGCTGAGGTTTGGACCCTTTTTTTTTTTTTGAGGTAGTCAGTGCTGGTTGATAGGAGAAGTAAAATGGAGCGTAAGACAGAACATGAGTCTCTGTTAGATTGTTGCAGGAGCGTGAGAGCCCTGTAGTGACTCAAGGGAGAGGTATTTTTGCTTTGACTTTACAAATCTCCTTTGTTTTCTACAGAAAGAGTTTCTCTGACTCTTTTTTTTCTACCGTGCTGAGAATTTGGCTTTGGATTGTAGCATGTAGGCAGTTTGATGCCTTTTTCAAATAATACATTGTTATCCAAAAAGATGATATCTTACCTGACCTGAATCTTTTGCAAACCAAAGTGCAAGTGCAAAGGTATTTGACAGAATAAAAAATGTTAGTGATTTATGTGCTGTTTGGAGAACAATGAAGGCTTGTGAGACCCACCCTTATTTGTTACAGGGCGACAGTTGAATCACTCACCTGGTATGTTGTAGACCCTGTTCAGCTGCTTTCTCAGCCTGCTGCAAATCCAAGACTAAAATACAGATTTGTGACTTTTAAATGAGTGAGACATTTCACCGATTTTTCTTCCTCTGTCAAGACCAAATAATCTAAGTGTGTTACATGAAGTGGAGCAGTTTTAGTAAGAAAGATTGAACCTTGCCTCCACCTCGCCATGCTGCACCCGTCCATCCAGGACACCGTACAGCCGTGGAGCTAGGAACTCTGTCTTATGAAATAAGAGAACACACTTCCTTTATTTTGGACCATCCGATAAAAGACTTGAGCCCAGATCTTCTAGCACGTCAGGAGGAATAATCCTAAAAACTGAACTTTGTATTATAAGAACTTCTTTGCATACTTATCACTCATTTCCTGATCTAATCCTTTGCTTTTATTGAACAAGGTTAGGTAGAGCCTTCATCTAAAAGTTGGGAGAGAGGGCTGCCTGAATATGATTGATTTCTCATTCAGTGACCCAAAGGAAAATGTTTTGATTTGCCAAAATTTTCATGGAATTTTGGGTTTAATTAATCCTGATTGTTTCAGCTCAGCTGCTGAACTGGCAAATCAACTACTTGCACATCCCTTGCAATGTATTCTATGAAAAAGGCGTTCACCCATCCTTTTTTCCTCCCTGTAGGTGTCACTCTTGAGTTTAATGTGAATGTATTTGCTCAGCTCCAATTTTTTATCCAGACATCATCTGATCAAGCTAGGATACACAATTCTCTTTGGGGCATTATTAAATAATATACCTAGCTTGAATTTCTCTGTGAAGGTATATCTCATTTGTTCCACCTAAATTTAAATACAATATTAATATACCAAATAGATTGTTGGACACAGTTTTCTTTGCATTGCAGAAAAGTAAAGTTTTATTAGAGGCATTGTTATCAGCAGAAAGTATATTGCACCAATTGCACTGCAGATAGGTGTATGTGATACAGTGATTGCATATGAAGAACAATATAAAAAGGAAGAAGTAGATAATTTTAGGAGAGTCCTAGAAATTACTCATCTAGACTTCATGGATAATGTTTGTAGAGCAATCTGTGTGTTGGGTAGATACACAGGGCATGTGCTGTGTGTAATATCGCATTGTAGGCCGGGCTGCTCAGATGGCAGTAGGTAGATCCGGGAAGACCAATGCATCGGTGGTATCTTAACACACTCTTGACTGCCCTGTGGAATGACAGAAGAAACCATTACTGATGAGGAAATCCATAGTCTCTTGCCGCACTGATATTTCAGATATATCAATTATTTAAATGTCCATCTGTGTTAGCAGAAGCGTGGGAAAGGAGCTTAGCCTGTTTCTGTAACTGAAACTAAAACACCTTGAAATTAAGAGATTTGATTGTGAATTGTTTAATCCCTGTTGCAACTGCAAATGTGGAAGTCATAACACAAGGGATAGTATTAACAAATTAAAAAAGAGATTAAATACAAAATATGAAAGCCATGGGGACACGATAAATTAGGATCCTCCTCGGAAGATGTTTCTTACCTGTCTTCTCACCAGATTGACCGTGAGAGTAGGAAGTAGAAGAATAAGAGTGGGAGGATATTCCCCCTCCTTGGAGAGCTCCTTGAGATGTTCTGTGTAAGGAAAGGAGTTTTAATGAAGGGAATGATAAATACATTCATAAAGAGACACACTGTGATGTAATGTGCAGTGCCTGTAACAGCTCAGCTTTTCCTGGACCTTGCAAATATTTCTTTATTTTTATTTTGTTCCCTTAAGCTATATTTTCCTAGAAAGTTGTAGAAGCTGAAATGACAAAAGACTGTAGAAGTATAATTCTCCTACTCCCACAGTCCAGCTATGCTTGCTCATCTGCTGACAGAAGGCGGTATATCACAGTTTGGTTTTGCATAGTGATTCCTCTCATGGAATTCAATCTGCACAAAATGATTAACTGAAAAAATGTCAGTAACTATGTGCTCTGTGTTTCCCTCTGTGTTTGATGTGCTTATTAACTTTATGATATATACATTTCAATGCAGATGTGAAAAAATATGTTCTATTTAGATTTCAAGTACAGACTGGTAAAACTTCCTACTCAGCCTTCTGTGTGCCCTAACAGAGAAAAGACTGTGATAGATTTTATCCACTTTGCAAACAGAATACGTACACAATGTCTTGCTGTCCCTCCTGCAGCAGTGCCCGATACTGAGCAATCTCCTGTTCCAGGCGGGTCTTGATGCCCAGGAGCATCTTGTACTCCTGGTTCTGACTCTCCATCTCACAGCGGATGCTGGCCAGCTCCTCCTCTACAGCATTAATCTGCCCTTGGATTTGTTGCAGCAGGCAGCCGTAGCGAGATTCGGCTTCTGCCAAGGAGTTTTCCAGTGAGTTTTTCTGGAAGTGGAAATGCAGGAGTTTAGGCCCAGAGCTCTACCTCTCCCTACCCATTCCGAGGAGGGAAGGACCCTCGGCGATCCCGCCCCACGTACCGTGCTGAGCTGCGCCTGCAGTTCGATCTCCAGGTTCTGCATTTCGCGTCTCAGTTCAGTGAGCTGGTGGCTGCTTGTCTGGATGTCCTGGCTGCTAGAAGTGACCTGCCGATTGACTTCTTCAATCTGCAGGAGTCAAGCGCAAACACACTTTCTGCGTAAGAAAGTCCCCTCAGGGAGCAGATTTGCTGGCTGAGAACTAAGGTAGCCAGGGAGCCTCCCCCTTTCACCCTGGCCTCATCAAGGACAGCCCAGCCTTTGCTCCATCGACCCTGACGTGCACCCACCTGTGCACATCAGACCTGGCCTGCTCCCCCTCTGCCACTGCAGC